TTATAACTGAATGTGGAGTTGGGGGCTCAGAATCTTGAAGTTTTGCATCCCCATTTTTTTCCTGCAAAAAGGAGAGGCATAAAAAGGGTAATGACGTTAAAAATTCAAATTTATTCAATTGATTATCACTAGACAATCATCAACAGGTGAATGAAAGTAGCCATGCAAAAACAATAAAAATATGCTATATGATTACATTGAGAAGATACACTTAACAAAAACAATAAACAAGAAAAACATTGCAGAATATAGTTCTGAAACAATCGAAAGATATTCCCGATCCAGCTAATCATTGTAGGGCTTAGAGAAAGTAGAAAAGTATAATTATAACATTTCTATTGTCCTTTTAAGGAGAAGATGGGGACTGGGGAGACGGTTATCATTGTTGTCTTGGGGACAGGAATACTAGTAATAACCTATCACATTCTAGTCTCATAAAATCAGAAGAAAAAAAACACGGCAATATTTGAAAATTTTATATCTAAAAGCAAATTTTTAGAGAAACTAAACCAACCAGTAGCGTTAAGGAATATTAGTGACACACAGTCACCTCCCAGTATATTATTTTGAAGAATGTATATTTGAAAATCACAACTTAAATTTCAGTATAAGTGATTCTTAATAAACTTCCAAATAATTGACAAAAAGTCTCGACATTCAAATAATTTTTAGATCTATCATTATTCAATGAGAGGAAGGACTTATTTGTTAACGATAATTGCAAAATGAGATCTAAACACATCAACCACCTTAAACTTCCTAAATGTGTCATATCAATAAATTTACGAACCATAGCCTTTGAATTACCCAAAAACTTAGCAAGAAATAAAAAATAAACATACTAAATCATTAGCAGCAAGGCTGCTGCCATTGTTGGCAGCGAACCTCCAAGACAGTGCGGTCGCCAGCTTTGCTTTTTATTGCGAAATTTGCTGAATCTTGAAAAGAAAAATAATTCTTAGGCCCTCCTCAGATCCAGCCACTTTCGTTAAAACATTAAAATCTCCTGCCAAAAAGTAAAAGAAATAAGTTGGATAAGACTTTATACATGCATAAGTCGAGATCAAGCAAAATTCATGATAATTCAACAAAATATTCGACCTCAAAAGAACAATAAACCGATAAATCTGATATTAGTAACTGATATTCCAGAAACGAGTGGAGCAAAAGACCACATTTCCAACGCAGATTTCCTATTGTTTTTTCTCAGGAAACAAACAGAAAATAAAAATTTCCACTAAAAATGAACTGAATTTTACCAAAATGAAAGTCAGTAAACAGCAGATCGAAGTCTGATACAAGGGGGAAATAGCAGGGTGAATTAAGAGAATTTGAAGAGCTTAGATTTGGAAGAAACGACGCCGAATCATGAATAGAAAAGAGATCAAACAAACAAAAAGAAAACGAAATGTAGATGGAGAGAGAGAAGCAAACCTTTCAGAGAGAGAGAATGAAGGAACAAAGAGATTTGGGTTTAGTCTTTAATTGAGTACTTTCTATCAATTTCGTAAAATAGAAGCCAACGCTGAGAAAGATAATAGAGATAAATAGTCTTTTTTTTAGTGTGCGTGGTAATCAGTAATGCTGCTGCTTCTTGTCTTTCTGTGTTTACGTTTTTTATTAAATATATGGGTAAACTACATTTTTATCACTTAATTATGAGTTTAATAACAAATAAGTCACTTTTCTTTTAAAAGTGGTAAATAGATCACTCAATTAAAATATTATTATAAACAGATCACTCGTTAAATATTAGATAAGAATAGTGAAATAGTCGTGTACAATTTCAGTCCTTATAAATTATAGATTATATTAATTTGATCCTAGTTTAAACTGGTTCCATAAATTCAATCTTACATATTTAAAAATTTCATCATTTTAATTTTTGTTCTTCTCTTAAATTATTTATTTTTCTTCTAGAAATGTTATATTGCTTTCCAGTTATAATAATAATATAATAATAATAACTTCTTGTTTTTTTATGAAAAAAAATTAGATATTCAACTACTATTTTGATTCATGAGCTCGTTTACTTTGACAATGTCATAAAAAGATTAAATATATGAAAATTTTAGATATGAAGGGTTATATTTATTGAATGACTTATAATTAAGATAAAATTAATATAATGTATAAGTTTTGACCCTAAAAATATTATTATATGATGCTGAATTAGATATTTGTTTCAATTTTAACGGCGGATGATATATTTCTAATAATATTTTAATTGGATGACTTGTTTATAACTCTTAAAAGAAAAGTGACGTGCTTGTACTAAACTCATAAATAAGTGACCTTGGGTGTAGTTTACCCTATATTTTTCTAAGAGGGGAAAAAAGAAAAGAGTGAAGTGTGTGTTATGTGTTCACTCACAGCCGATGCTTTTCTGGAGCACCGACAATTTCAAACCTCTACTTTCTCGGCTCAGCTTACCGGCTTCTTTTATTATATTTTAAGATTTTTATTTCTATATATGTTAATATGTATTCATTTTAAATTAGTCCATATACTTTTAAAATTTTTAATTTCATATTCAAGCTATGAATCTTATTTTAAACTGGTTCTTAAACTTTTAAATATTTAAATATTATCTCTGAACTATGACCCTTGTTCAAAATGGATCCATAAACTTCTGAATATTTCAACTTCACCTCTAAAGTATGACTTTTATTCTAAATTTATCTCTAAACTTTTAAATATTTCAATTTTATCCACAATCTATCAAGATATATTAATCATGTTTTGTGTTAATAAAACCATTAAAAACTTTTTAACTGCCACGTAAACATTGATATGTATTATATAATTATATGATGTGCCATAAACAATAATGAATGTTGTATCATGCCTCTAGAAATCATTATTTAGAATAAAATTGCAAGTTTTCTAGGTTTTTATTTTTACTCTTCCAATTTGTTTATAATACTTTCTATGTTATAAAGTTTAATAATTATTTTATTTAAACCTAATGGTAATTATCATTTATGTAAGATCATATTATTAGATAATACACATCAATATTCAAATGGCAATTACCAATTTTTTAATATTTTTATTAACGGTGGATGTGATTAGTATATATTGAAGTTTATTGATGAAATTGGAATGTTAAATGGTGAGGGCTCAATTTAGAATAAAAGTCATAATTTAGGTATGAAATTAAAATATTTAAAAGTTTGAAGATCAATTTAAAATAAGTCATAATTTGAAAGTATTAAAATTTGAATACTCATAAGTTAGAAACTAATTTAAAATCAAAACCATAATTTAAAGATGTGTTGTGTAATTCACTTTTTATATATAAAGTTAATATTAAAAGAAAAAAGATGTACTCACACAAAACTATTTTAATTTACTATATAACCTTAAATATAATAATACAAAATTTCATAATATGAAATTAAAAATAAAATTAAAGTGTATGATTGGTTGTATAATTATACAAATTCTTGTGTTTCTTAAATTATATTCAAATCAACGATACTTAAACGATGACATTAATTTTTATTTTTCTTTCTTTTATCCCCATCTCACTTTCAACCTTATGTTCTTTTATTTTATCTAATTATAATTTTCCTTTTTTTATAAAATTTGTATAAAAATAGTAGATGATATCTTTTGCTCCGTAACATATATTCGTTTTTTTTTCTTTTTCTCAAAGTTAGATTTGATATTCACATCTTTAAATAGTGTTTATTAGTTTATATTGTTCGTCTATCCATGCTTTCGACCGTCTATCCATGCTTTCGACCCTCTAGCTGAATATTGATAGATGTTTTCAAGTATTAGTCAATGACAAGACGAGTTTGTTAATGAATAGCTATTGTTATAGGTATTTTTATACTTGTGTCAATGGTGTTTATCCTTTATTGTTGGTGATGTTATTTGTTTGTATTTATCATTTGTTCGAGTTGTTTGATCGAATTTTAACATTTTTATTGTATGATCTTATTATATCTTTTAGGGATATATCCTACTAATGTGACCAATCTATTATTTTATTTGTAGACTTTTTAATTATTTTTTGGGTATTTTCTCTTCATTCAATAACACTAGTAATTTAATAAAATGATTATTATTAGTTAAAAAAAACATAGGGTTCACCTATTTTATCAAACAATTAAATTTGATAAGATTGGTATCACATACTTTTTTGACTCTCAGATTTCATAGTTAACCCATTGGTGATACATGTACTATGTGTATATTTTATATGTTGGACTTATTGGGGTAAAGAAAGAAGCCAAAATCAGTGTTTATTCTCCTGGAAGAATTGGGACATTGTAACAGCCATTAAGGAAAAGGTTGCTTGTTGGGATCATAGCTGAGATTGGTTGAGTTGTGACCCCTTCTTCCAAATTCAACCACCAATCTTGTTTTATGTTATTAATTTTCATGGAAGTTGAGTTCTCACCATTCATGATTGAGACTCCAAATTTATACCAATTAAATTTTGATTAAGATTGTGTTTCTTCAAGTGGATTTTTCTTATAGCTATTTCATGCCTTTGTTTTTTGGTGAAAGATTAATTTATGATGAATGAGGACATTCATCTTAAACATCACTGCCCATTTATTAATAAGAATTAGTTGAAAGGTGAATACCTTGTGCATAAAGAAATCTGAAAAGCCCACTTGAAAAGGTTGTTAGATGTGAGGGCAATTCTTATGACAGCAATGCAAAATATGTTGAATCAGTGTTACGTTGTTACAACTTAAGATTATGTCAATTCAACTGGAAACAGGAAATCTCTGGTTATTAAAAATTGCAAAATGTTGAGAGAGAGAAAAAAAAACCATTTCAATAAAATGACACATCATCAACCATACATATGTCAATATATTAAAAAAAGATCAAGAAATTCACTCTGTTTCCGATAATCCTATCATTTATTCCAGCAATACACCATGATGGCCTATTAACAGTATCTTCGAATAGATGAAGAAACGTGGACTTTTTTCAGTGAAGAAAACCAAAATTTTTATTCCAACAGTAAATAACTTTTAAGAAAAATAAGCATCGTGAGATTTGTAAATTCCATACCCAAGATTTTGTTTGAGCCAAGTGTTCCAGGACGGAAGATTAGGTAAGACTGATGCACGTAGCATACGATTGAAGTACGGTTAAAGCTTGCTCCGTGATGGCCCTCCTCCTCGCTCTTTTCACCCAATCGCCGACTATCTCCCTCGCTTGTCTACCTTTGACACCTTGCTCCAAGACGGCTGCTGCTTCAGCGAGCTTTCCTTCAGCCAAGCATTTGTCAACTCTACTGATTAAAGACTCGATCCCTTCACCAGATTGGTCAACATCCTTCACCTAAAATATAGTGGGCAAGCGTGAAATTTTCAATGACATGTCTATAATTACTGAAAGGTAAATCACATTGTTTTATACCTTTAACCAGGATGCGATATGTGCTAAAGAATGAGTCAAGATACCACCACCACCAGGTGGAATTAGGCTGAAATGCCTAAGGCTCCCTTTCATTGCATTAAACTGCAAAAAGAACATGCTTAAGACAGTAATCTAATAAAAAAATATAAAATTACTTTCAATATTATGAATCAGTATCTGTTCGAATTAATAAGAATCAGTAGAACCATTAACCACCACCGCTTATAGATAACAGCATGGTTGAGGCTAGGCAAACTTGAAATGCCTTCACATCAATAACTAAATTTTAGTAACTTCTGCAGTAATCTAGTCAAACTTCAAAATAAACTCATAAAATTGCCTAGATGAAACTTCAAACTTTTCCCTCGTGTCCATACTATAGCTAAGGTGCCGTGAGAAGATAACTTAGGAGATTCCGGCAGACCGGTGATAGGCTGATGCTACTTAGATGCATCAGAAATCTAGGTGAGACAGTCTATATCTGAATGGCAGATAATGTGGTACATAAAGAGGACTAATACTTCCTTTTTTTTCATGTCCAAAAGTACAGAAGCCGTGAAAACAAAGAAAAAAATACAAAAACATTTATTGATAAGCTTTATCTGCACTAGATCACCCATTGAATCAAACCACTCCCATCTCTTCATACTCGGTTAGATCTTCAAGATTAGTCTCAATTCTTGAGCCCACCATAAAATCCTTTATTTTCATTTGATGTTAGGTTGAGAATGTTCAGAATAACAATGAACTGTCAGCTCAGAAATAACAAGCAAACTTCCTTCTGGGCTGCTTTTAAATGCATACCCTATTTTCCTCCCACCCCCTTTTTGTTTTGGTCCAATTCTTTATTCTTGATGTTGCTACAGTGTACAGATCCCAATGAAGGAGTTCCAGCTAGGAGCTTAGTGTGCTCTATAAAGATTGAGGAAATTTTGCATTAAAAATTCAGAACTTGGGAAATTTGTCAGCCAACCACCTAAATATCCTGTATTTATCAATGCAATATGACTACAAAACCAATCCTAATTAAAGAGGAGCAATATTCAGTAACAGCAAAACAGAAGAGGGTGAGAAATGAATTTGCAAGTAAAAGGGGCAGAGGGCATGCTTAGCTAAATGTATTTAGCATACCAGAAAACATTTACTTCAACTTTTGGATACAAATTTAACTAGTTAAAGATAATGAAACAATCATAAACGCAGCACTCGTTTTCAGCACAGATAGGGATTTATTAGGATATCAGGAAGATAAGAGGGCACAAACCTACAACAGCTAAAGAGGTGTAATGTGAATGATGCCAGACTTATTGTTCCTCCCAGCTTTTAATTTTTTGGAAAAACAACATTCTTTTAGCTCTGCCTCTATAAAAGCATTTAAATTATTCCTTTTTATAAAAATATTGCCAAAAGTGAAGCGTACAATTCCTACATAGAATTGTGCAATGGCAAACCATCAACCATATATAACCAATAGGTTCTATCATTCAAAAGGACTCGTAATTTATTTACATATATTTCTAAAGTTACTAAACAACTTGCCTTCTGATTCAACTGTAGTAGAGTATCTGTACCATGGTACCGAGTTTCTTCCGGAAGAGACGAAAGTACCAAATCTAATACTGAATCCTTCTCAATACCTTCCAGGAAGGTACGCAGAGAATCTATTTCTTTCTGGATCGGTAATCCTTTAGAAAGTGCATCTTCTAGTGCAAGTGCTCCCTGTAGGACCCAAGAGAATTCAATTTATGGGGCAATAATTTAGAAGTTTAGAAGAATTACAACTATGAATATCAATCACTAATAACATCACAAAGATTCCAACTAAAACTAAAAAAATATGTGGAATAAGGAAGGTACCAAAGCGAGCTTGTGAACAGAATGACTTTTGCGTGCTTCTTCAGATCGTGCAAAAAAAGCCATACATAAAGCATTTATCTACCAAAGAATAATCCATACATGGTTAGTGCCTCTAATCTCATCCATAGTGTCGAATGACAAATGATAAACAGTATTGATTATGAAAATCACACGGGCATATATGAAGCATTTTTTTTTTGATAGGAATAGGAGGTCTCATTAAAAACCTCCCTCTTAGTGGACCTTACCCGTAAGGTAAGGCCCAACTAGCGGAAGGAGGAAAAGAGTACCTCAATTTATTAATGACAGCAAAGTTACATAAGACTTAAAAACACTTTTACATACAACATAAGACCTCACACACTCCTTTAGCTTCTAGGCTCAGAAACAGATACCAACTGAAACAGACAAAAAAATCACCCGATCCCCTCTTTTGCTAGCTTGTCAGCCTCACAATTACAAGACCTTGGAATCCACCTGACAATAAAAATTTTAAAAGAAACAATTGATACAATTTCCTTAACAAAATTTGAAGGGAAAGAGGAACCAAAGCTTGATCTTTGATCCAATCCACGACCTGCTTGCAATCACATTCAACAATGAGTCTGCCCTTGAACAACCATTCTGAAGAAGCAAAGATATCAATGCCTCTTTTAACAGCTTTCAATTATGCTAAATAGGGATGAGAAGGACCAACATTTTCTGAAAAAGAGAAAAGTGTAACCCGATTCCAATCCCTGAGAAGACCCCCTATTCCAGCAACTCTCCCAACTCTACTAAAAGCCCCATCCACATTCAATTTAAAAAAAATCTACTGGAGGAGGGATCCACCAGCACCCAGGTCTGAGTAGTTCCTTAGAAACAGAGATACTATCTGCCAAAGAAGGATCACCAATTAAAGAATCCACCTTAATATAGGAAAGAGGATATTTTGCTAGAAACCATCTTGCTAGCCTTAAGCGAACAGTGAAAAACAGTGAAAGCTTGTCTAGTTTACCATTATCAAAGATAATTTCATTTATGATTCTCCAAATTGACCATAGCACTACACCCAGAATAAACTTCCAAATAACCGAAGAAGGCCTCAAATTAGACCAAGAACTAAGTAAGGACGGAGGGTCAACTGGAAAAGCTAGACTTATACCCCAATAACAAATTAATTTATTCCACAGCTCCCACAAAACTTGACAGAACAAAAAAAGATGCTGGACTGATTCATCACATAGGTTGCATAAAGGGCAGTTAGTATTCTCCTCTATAGTAACCCCCCTTTTCATCAATTCCATCCTAACATCAACTTTTTGATGAGATAACTGCCAAAGGAAAGTCTCCACTCTAGGAGGGACTAATCCCAGCCAAACACAGTTTCTCCACTGAAATGTATCCTCATAAACAGTCTCTAGAGATTTCCTGCACTCTTTGACAGAAAACAGCCCGTCCCCCAAGCCATCCCACAGCAGGCAATCCTCCAAAGATTCAATCAATTTAATGTCTTTAAGGCTATTCAATAACTCAATCAACTGCAACACTTCCCAATCACATAGATTCCTCCTCATTTTAATATTCCATTCCCATCCATTCAAGTCAAAACTACCAAAATCAGCCACATTCCCACCTTTGTTAATAGAAAGTGCAAAAATCCTAGGAAAAAGAATTTTTAATGGACAATCCCCAAGCCAAGTATCCTTCCAAAAAGAGACAGATTTTCCATTCCCTATTTGTATTTTTGCATGAGATCTAAGGCACCCTCCAATGAAGTCATTCTTTGAGAAGTTATTGACAATTCCCCTCCAAATCCACGAGTCTTTATGAGATAGGGCCTTAGTAATATTCAAGGAATGACAACTCACATTATGTTTACTACAAAAGAATTTCTTCCATATCGAGTCTTTCTCATTTGCAAACTTCCATACCCACTTCCCCAACAACGCTCGATTGGTAAGATTCAAATCAACTCCTAAACCTCCACCATTCAACGGCTTACAAATCTTTTTCCAACTAACCCAATGCACTCTCTTCTTCTCGCCCCCTCCACCCCAAAGAAAATTCGACATCAAAGAATTTAACTGTTGAGAAACAGTAGATGGCATCTTGAAAATAGATAGGTAAAAAATGGGTAAAGATGAAAGTACCGACTTTATAAGCACCAATCTGCCAGCCATGGATAAAGATGAAGCTTTCCACCCCGCCAATTTTCTACTAAAATTCTCTATGACCGGCTCCCACAACTTCTCTGAATTCTTTCTTGCACCCAAAGGGAGGCCTAAATAAACTGTCGGGAAAGAGCCAATAGAACAGCCAATATCCCTCGCCCATTCTTCAAGTAAGTCATTCTCCATATTAATACCATAAAGTTTACTTTTGGCTAAATTGAGATGGATCCCCGTCATTAGGCTAAAAATCCTCAAAACTCTTCTAACATTCTTGATCTGGGTAATAGAGCCTCGACAGAATATAATTAAATCGTTCGCAAACTGTAGGTGTGATAAATTAAAGGAATTTTGATCATTGTCGAACGAAAACCCTTGAAACAGACCCAAATCCACTGCTTTTGTAAGCATCTTGTGCAGCAATTCCCCAACAACATTGAACAGAATAGGAGAGAGGCTACATCCTTGCCTTAATCCGTTATCAATAAGAAATTCTTCTGTAGGGGACCCATTGACTAGGACCGATATAGAAGCTGTGGAAATACATTGTGTGGTCCAAGAACACCACCTATCACCAAAACCCATCTCTTTCAATAATCTTATAACAATCTGCCATTCCACTGTGTCATACGCTCTGCTGAAGTCTACTTTAAAGACAACCCCTTTAAGCCCTTGTTTCCTCCAACTGTCAATTCCTTCATTGGCCACACAAGCACATTCCAACAATTGTTTTCCCGGAATAAATGCAAACTGATTAGGACTGATAATATCTTTGACACAGGAAATAAGTCTCTTTGAAAGCACTTTTAATAGAATTTTATATAGGCTGCCCACAAGACTAATGGGTCTATAGTCTTTTATACTCTCCGGATTACCTTTCTTTGGGATCAAGGTAATAAAAGCGTGGTTAATCCCGTGTACCCACTCCTTTCCTTCAAAGAAATCTGAAAAAAACTCCATAATCTGCTCCTTCAAATGATTCCAGTATTTCTTATAAAAACCCATGGTAAAACCATCCGGACCGAGAGCTTTAGCACTATCTGAAGAAGAAATTGCATTCCACACTTCTTGCTCTGTAAATTCCTCCTCCAGATTAGCCCTTTGAACTGCTGATATTTTCATAAAATCAAAATCTAGACCCTCAACCTCAAAAGCTGCTTTTGTGTTGTATGCAGTCCTGAAAAACTCATAAACACTGTTCTTTATCTTAACTGGATCCGAAATTACCACCCCTTCAATTTTCAAAGAATGAATGGTATTGACACTATTTCTTTTCATAGCAGTAAGGTGAAAAAACCTCGTATTTTTGTCTCCGTTTTTTATCCATCTATTTCTTGAATTCTGCCACCAAATGCTTTCCTCAATCCTTAACAATCTCCACAACTCATTTTTGAATTCAATCAACTGATCCCATTCCCCCTTAGACAACATTCCACCTTGTGACTTTAAATCCAATTCGTTTATTTTCATTTCAAGCAGCGAAATAGAGTCTGCCAGCCCTAAATGACTGCTGCCAGGCCAATTTATGATCTTCTTCGCATTTTGTAACAACCTGAAAATCCCCCCTCTATTCCTCTTCTTCTTCTCATCAACCACACAGCCTTCAACCAAATCATCAAACCCTTTCTCCTCTAACAGAAAATTAAAAAGCCTAAAGGGTTTGGGGCCCCAATTGTGACTAACATCCTCCAACAAAACCGGATTATGATCTGAAATTGATTTTGGTAAAAGGCATTGTGAAATCCTAGGAAAGCTGTTCAAAAATCTGCCACAAATTAGAAATCGATCTAGTCTAACCCATGTTGACAACTCTCTGTTACTGCACCAGGTGAAAGTTGCTCCTGACATAGGCAGATCCATAAGGTTAGCTTGTTGTATAAATGATCTAAGAGTTTCAATAGCATGCCAATTTTGTGATCTCCCTTGCTTTTCTTCCGGAACAAGATACACATTGAAATCACCCCCTATACAAACTGGCAAATTCGTCAAATTAACATAACTCAGCAGCTCCCCGAAGAATTCCTCCTTTTCAGCTTCAATAACAGGTCCATAGATATTAATGAAGAAAAACTCCTTTTGGCCATTCAAAAAATTCCCCACTAATGCGATAAACCTACTATGAACATGTTGGTTAGTGACATTGAAAACATTTTCATTCCACATACTAATCAATCCACCCTTAGACCCCTGTGCAGGAGAAAACACCATTCCCTTCAGCAAATTTCCTCCAATCCACCTTATGATCGACGCATGACACTGATCAAGTTTAGATTCTTGAATAAAAATCATAACAGGTTTTAACTTCTTAACTTGCCTTGCCACTACTAAAGATTTTTCCCTCCTCCCTAAACCTCTAATGTTCCAAGGATACTAAATTTCTGCATATACCGACTTCAAAACCAAACACCAAAAATATTCCCTGTGAACCCGCATATCGCCCTTCCCTTCCTACCTCCAGACCATTTTCAAGACTCACTATTTTATCAATAAAAGCCTTCTTCCCTTCCTTGAAAGAGATACCTAACATCTGACACACTTCCCATGTGGCTATTGCTTCCTCTACCAGCTTCGAAAAATGAGACGAAGAAGCAGTAGAAATATTAACCATTTCCAAAGCTTCACTGATTAGAGCTCTTCTCTTCCTTCTTTTATTAAATCGTGACCCTGAAGCATTGCAAGAAGCTGCTGCCACTCTCTGAACGATTACTGCCAATTAATGGGACGTTCGGTGTCTTCTGAACATCTGTTGAACAATTGATATCCTCTTCCTGTCCATTTCCCCTATATTCTGAAAAACTCTGCTGAAAATATCTGCTTTCATTTGCCTTCTGTCCTTGATTCAGATTAACCTCTGCACAAAATAATTCTGTTTCGTTATTTGCACCTAACCAAATTCGTCTATTTCTTGACCTTCTATAGACTCTAGCA